AAAAGTCACACATACTTGATATTATAAAAAGAATTATTATTTCTTTTAAAAAATAATTTTAAACAAGACAAGATCATATATGTTTAATAATTATATTTTAAACACATATATTACGTTATATATAATATAATATATTAGCACATCTAAGACAATAACTAACTTAAATGAAAAAAAAAATCATAATTTTAATATATTTAAAATAAAAAATATTAGTTGAATACAGAGAAATAGACGCAATCCAGTATATCTAAATGATTACTAAATCGACTATAAAAACAAGTAAATGACTAAATTTAACATATCTAAAACCATATGTCTAATTAAAATAATACAATATTATTAATATAAATTATGCATACAAATTATAAATTAATTTAAAATTAAAAGTAAATAACAATTAATTATTATAATATATTTACTTTATAAATATTTATATCCGTGCATGAGGACGGGAAAACACCTAGTTAATAATATCAAACAAAAAATATTTAGATAATGTAAAGCATAAAATTCCAACAATATATTTTATCAGATTGTCAAAATTAAAATCTAGCTGGCTCATTAAAAATAAGGACACGCAAAAGTTTCGATTAGTGTAGTTCCACATAGCTTTTGCTCTTTTATAGACAAACCATAAAAACGATCGAAACTTCTTGTCCAAGGAAGTTAAAGGACTCAATTATCCTTGCCGACATGTTCCCAATCCGAAGTCGGGCTCTCGCAGCCTTCGCCGGATGCAGATGGTTCTTCAGTATTGGCGGCACACGTCTCTGTCACAGAATTTCCACCTATTGTCACCATCGAGTCTGACCAGAGATGCTCACAAATTTGTGTCTTGTTTCTTGGCTCAGAATCTGAATCTGAGTCCAAGCTGTTGAGGGATTCCTGAACTTTCTCAGCTTCCCGGCGTTTTAGTATCTTGAATCTATCCATGACATCACTCATTTGGCTGCTTCTGCCAATATTAGCAACCTCAGAAGCTTCTGGATTCTCCTCCTGGTCGCAGTTCTGAGACTTGAGTTTGCGCTTTGTTTCCTGCTGCTTCAGAATCTGAAACCGGTCTATCACATCATTATGTTTTTCCTTGCGTGTTGTGTCCGGTATCTTTCCAGAGGTTGCAGCATCAGGCTTGAAGTTTCCGTGATCTTCCTGTCCTAAACCACCCGTAAAGCTTCTGGACATAAGGCCTAGTAGTACTGAATCCACGGAATCAGAGTTGAATCTAGAGCTTTGTGGTGCGTCATGACTCGTTTTTAATATATCGTTCCCACTATTGCTTCCGTGTCTGATGAATGAATCACTCGTTTCCTGCTCTACACTGTTCATAACGGAAACCGGTTTTTGGGAGTTAAGAAAAGGCTCTTGCATAAAAGTTGATGCATCAGCAGAAATCTCTGAGAAAAGCAAAAATTTAACTGTTAAAATAAAAACATATGTTTAACAAAGACGGTCATTTGTAGGATGATGTGCTGAGTAAGCAGCATCTTGATCTCATTTACCAACATTATTTTTGTGTTTAAACAGCATGTGGAATATCTTTTATAAGAAACTACGCATGACAGGATAATACTAGTGGACAAAATGGTCTTGCAATGCAGCTCTAGTCAATAATACTATCAAACAAAAGGAGACGGTTTAGTCTGAAGATACCAACCTCTATTCTGCAATTTCAGATTATCAATCTCCTTCTTGATGCGATGGTACCGAGTCATGCAAGTTTTGGAACATAAGGCAGCTTCAGTTTCGAGCCAGAGACTCTTGTACAAGAGAGTTTGTGGGTGGTTTTCTTCACCATCAGGAAAGTTGGTAGCTAGTATGTTCTTAATACTCTGCAAAGTTAACATTCTCTAAATAAGAAGGGTTTAGACATAATGTCACATAAATATGTAAGTAATACCTGTGTCATCTCATCCTCATACATATTCTTATCCACCGGCTCTTTCAAGCCAGAGTTACCCAATGGCTTGACATTAAACCCTTCACACTCTTTAGCAACTACATTTGAGGCCTGAAAAGGTATAGTTAAGCACCTAAGAAGTAATAGCAAACAAGAACAAGCAATGTGTATGTTCTATCAGAAACTAAATAGGTCCGGAACATAGCACAAGTGGTGCCCGTAAGAAATAAATGATAACCTCACCGAGCATGAAAACATAGTTTTTAACTTCTACCTATGATGCAATTCACAAATTGTAGGGTCGAGAGGCACCACATACCTCATTAAGGTCACCCACGTTTGGACAGGAAACATGCACAGCTTGAGTTGGAGTTGGAATTGAAGCTTCCACTGTAACTGTCTTGTTACCAGTGATTTTCTTTAAGCACTTGGTGATATTCTCTACTACTTTATCAAGGCTCTCAAGTTTCTCCGGATTCAGCCAGTTCCCATTGTCGAAGCATTCATAAACAAGCACCTCTGACAGATTATGCATGGCATTAACCACAGAAGAGACTCTCGGACAAGAATCCAGGGACCGGAGATCTCCTTGCCTTTCGGGTGGTTGGCCAGTTGAGACATCATCAGCATTCGATTTACTATTCCCTTTGATACCCAAATCAGTCTTTTCACTGGCTTCAACATCTTCACTAGGTTGATTATCATCACTGTTATCCGCTTTCATTGCAACACATGACTCACTTCCCATATCAAACATAGTAGGAGCTGAAGGCCCTACCATGAAGTGTTTCCACGATATATGCTCATCACAATTTAAATCATCAATCACATTCTTCAAGGACGTTTCAGAAACACCACCATTCTCACTGTCAGTAACAAAAGTTTTCGGAGTGTGATAAAGAGAGGAGACTCCACTACCTTCTTGTTTCTCCTTCAACGGTGAGCCCGAGCACTTGCTACTATCAAATTGTAGCGTGTGGGAAGCTCTGGGACTACTTGAACGATCCGGATTGGCATGACCAGTAACTTCCCCATAACCAAGCAACACGTTGAAATTAACAGGCTCAACAGAAGAAGAACCGTGAAAGCTCGACTGAATATTATTATCAGACGCATCATGACTAGTCTGACTCTGAATATTATTATCAGAGGCATCATGACTAGTCTGACTTTTATCAAAGACGGTATCTACAATCTCAAATCTATCACAGCCATCATGGTATTGTCTGAGGCGTTTCTCATCTAAACCACTGCCATAAAGACCAGAAGAAGGCGAGGGGATAGGACGTTTAAAGAAACGTTTCTCAGAGTTTCTGATTAACATGTCTGCTGAAGAAGACACTGTAGCTGAGCTGTCCACAGGATAATCAGTGGGAAATGCCACATCATATGTTTCCCTTGAAGTGTATAATCCACTCGTTGGTAACATGTTTGTATATGAATCTTCACTACCTCTATGATCGAAGCTTCCTGCAAACATAAACCCTAATTATATGAACAGCAATTCTTTCAAATATAACTTTTTAAGTTTTTGTCACAAAAAATATAACTAAAAAACTAAATTCACCAAAATAAAATTTTTAACTCATCTTTTCATAAAATATGTAAGTCTTATTTTTATTTTTTAAGTTTATATTTGTAAGAATTTTTTTTAGGGCTTAAATGATTTACATTATAATTCAAACATAAAAAAAAACTATTAGTAAACCATGGTAGGATGGTCAAGACTGTCCGTGGATCCTAAAGAGACATGAGTTCGAATTCGCACCACACCAGATTTCCACGACGCTGCATGGCACCAAGGCTTTCCCATTCTCAAGAATGGTTTACTTTTAAAAAAAAAAAAAATCAGTACTGTTAAACAGTGGGATTAAAGATATTTTACCAGGTCGGCTGTTGTTAACGTAAAACGATGAAGAAGGCGTCGTTTGAGGTAGAGAAGGACCACCGTAAGAAGAGTTATTCGAGCGATCAGATGGTGATAGGAGGTAAGAGCCGTGAGAGATCATCGGATCAAACACTCCTTGGCTTAAATTAAGAGGATAGGTTGGAAGAAACGGAGAAGCAGAGGAGGAAGGATGAGGAGACGGATATAAAAGGCCGCATAACGGTACGGGTGGTCCGGTGTAGCCGCCGTTGTTGAATCGATCTGTCATCGTTTTTTCTTCTTTTCCCTGAAAAGTGGAAGAGACTGTTGAAGAAGAGAGAAGTGTTTAAGTACTGCGAAATATAAAAGTTAATCCAGCTTTAGAAGCTTCTATGTGGGCCGTTTAACGACCCGGCCTTTTAGGAAACCCTAGTAATTATCTTAACAGTTTAGATTTTTATTCAATATTTTACGCTGAATTCGAGATTTGAACTTATTCAGAAAACTCAAAACCTAATCTGATCCATTCGGTAAAATATTTGAGTACATTTTATAGTGCAATAGTTTAAGTACTGTTCAAATTCAATCCGAATTTAAGGATCTGATTGATAATGACTTTCGATTTAGACTTTTGACTTTAAAATTGTGCATGTAGAGATTTTGATTTTAAAGACGGTAACTATTACTTTAGAGAAAGTTAAAAGTCTTATTGGTACTCAAAGCTTTAGAAGCTGTGTGACTGTTATAAATATATGTTTATAATTCATTTTTAAAAATGTAATATCTATTTTTTATTTATACATATTCATAAAATATATTGGGTAGTTTAAAAAAAAAAAAAATCAATCAAATTTATCAACAATATATTTTATTTCTTTATTGTAAAAATTTAAAATTGTAATCAAAAAAATTATTTTTATTAAGTTTAAAATAAAATAATAATGTATTAAAGAAATAAAAAATTTTAAAAATTAAATTTAAAATAAAATTACTATTTATTAAATAAAACAAAAAATATTAAAAAATTAACGGGTTCTAGCCCATATGTTGTTTGTAATCTCATCTCGAACACCTTCCATGTATTGTCTTGAATTGAGATCTTGGTCCATTGTATTTGAAAGTTCTTCTTCATTTATCGTTTGTTTGTTTTCATTTTCTTTTGATTGGAAGTGAGGATCCATAAGGATTTGACTTGCGAATGAAGTTATGGAGAACCATGGTTACCACCACAATTTGACGCATTGTAGATAGGATATACCTTGCTTCATCTTTCACAATACACCACTTTTTTTTCCATACTCCAAAAGTTCTTTCGATCACTGATCGAAGTGATGAATGGCGACGATTAAAGACTTCTCTGTAGTTTCTTTCTTCTATTTAATTATGAAACCGATTTAGGTAATACCGCTCTCCACTATAAGGATAAAGAAATCCACGACGTAATGCATATTCTGAATCACCTGGATAATATTTACCATCGGGTGGATGAGGAAAATTGGTATCAGCTTCGATAGCAAGGGAAAGAACTTTCGCATCATGAGCAGATCCTGGAATTCCAATATAAACATATGTGAATAACATGTCTAAGTTACATATTGCAAAGATGTTCATAGATGTATCTCCGTGCCTATTCCAGTATCTTCGTTGATCTCTTCCAGACACCATAACAGGAACATGAGTTCCATCGATTGCACCAATAAATCCTTTAAAATATGGCCAATAATACTTATTTGATTGCAATTTAGGATGGACTTGCATACGAGACGCCGGATCGGGAGCAAACATATTAGTAGACATTGATACAAGTGCAACAAGTACCTCATGGAACTTTCTGGAAATTGTTTATGCTGAGTGACCAAATGTATGCATTGCATTCTGTTGTGTTATATTATGTCCACACATATGTAAAAAAAATAGCCACACTTTCTTTTGCAGGCATATTATATGTATCACATAAACCATATATATCTTGGAGATCACCGCATAATTTAGTAAATACCTCCGGCCACATTCTTAACATATTGTGGCATTGTGTGGGGTGACCATTGATCATATCATGAAGAAATTGCCGTCCACGGTCAGCATCTGAACATAAAGGTCTCGTGACTCTTTTATCTTGATTAGTTTCTTCTGATTCGAGTAAAAAGTCATCATCCTCTTCATCTTCAAATATTTTCCATAATAGAACCATATTCTGTATTAAGAGATAAAATAATAAAAATTTATTTAATTATAGAAAAAACCAACGAGGATTTATTTCACTTAATAAACATATATATTTTCATAGTTATCATTCGATATTTAAAAAAAGTGTATGGGGTAGGTACTCTACCTTCTTGAAGAAGAAGATGATGCCATTTTTGAAGGATTTGCAAGTTATAAAAATACGAAAATAATTGTTGGAGAGAATATTTTCCAGATTAATAATCTATTAATAGTAAAGTATGACTTTTTCTTGATGGTAAAACCTAATTTAAATAATGAAAATGAATTTATAAATCATTGTATTTATTTTTTATTTCAATTATTATACTTTTTGAATCTTTCATAAATGTTTTCAATTATTTATACAAATTTTTTTAGTCTTTAACAAATTAATAGTCTATTAATAGTTTATGATTTTTCTAACTAATGAAAATGAATTTATAAATCATTGTATTTATTTTTTCTTTCAATTATTATACTTTTTGAATCTATCCTAAATGTTTTCAATTATTTATATTTTTTAGTCTTCAACAAATTAATAGTATATTAATAGTAAGGTATGACTTTTTGTGGTAAAACTTAAACTAACTAATAAAAATGAATTTATTAATCATTATACTTATTATTTCTTTTATTTTGATAAGAAATGAGCAAAAAGTCAAAAAAAATAATACAAATCACGTTTTTGTCATAGAAAAAGAAGAGAGAGTGTGTTGTAAAGTCACAAAAAGTGACTGTAGAAAAAAATGAATAAAAAAACAGTTTTATTTTAAGGTGGGCTTTTAGGACTTTACAAATTTCTAAAGCCTAAAAGAATTGATTTGCAAATATTTGACTTTAGTGGCTTTACACAACCACAAAGATCTCAAAGCCTACACACCAATCGGACCCTAAATAAGATTCCAAAATGTGGAAACACCGTAGCCTAGTGGTTAAGGTTTAAAGGCTTCTACACCAGGTCTGGGGTTCGAATCTCAGGCTACGCAGTTTCTACACCAGGAGAGTTTCAATTGCCGGAGAAGGTGAATGGTGAATTATGCAGTGGAGAAAAAAAGCTTACAAGAGATCTTCAGCATGGCGCAAGACGTACCATCAGAAATGAATTTCATAGGGCGGCTCGGGGTGATGCAGTTAGACGTGAATCCGCATAAGACAGGTAGAATTGTCGGAAAAAAAAAGATTCCAAAAAAATATTCACAACACTTTTTTCCTACAAGATCTGAAAAATTTTAAAACCAAATTCGAATAAATAGTCAAAATCTGAATTAGTATCTAATATGTATATTCGAATTCGAAAGATAATTAATAACTCAGAATGTCATATTAATTTGATATTGGTTTTAATATATGTTGCCTAATGTTTTTTGGTTAGGTACTTTAAATAAGTACTAGATTCTCACCCGCCCTTTCCAAGGGCGGGTATACTTTTTGTTTAATTTTTTTGAGAAGTTTAACTTTTATATTTAGGTTTTTTATATAGATTTGAGTTTAATATTAATTTAATTTAATAGTACAGACATTTCAATAAATAAAATACATAATTAGATTATTTTGATTATTTTTTTTCTATTGTATTTATATAAAGTTATATATTTTGATTAGTAAAAGCAGTTTTAGAAACTTTATTAAAAGACATGGTAAGCTAAAGGAGGAAATGTAAAAAAAAATGTTTTCTTGTTTTTCTGTTTATGCTATATTGTTTATAACAAAATATTGATTTTTGTTCTTTAGAAAACAACTCTGCTAAAAAAATGAAAATGTCGATAACGTTATCATGAATATTATGATAAATTAGATGTAGTTATATACTTGCATTTTAGTCTAACAGTTTATGGTCATATAAATATTACAATATGCATACGTAAATTGTGTCTACCAGTTAGAGTAGTGGTTCCCAAGAATATAGGAGAGGTTATAATAAAGAGACTGAACGTTAGTAACTGATATATTTTTTGCTAGGTACGTAACTGATGTACATATATATATATAATGGTTGCAGTTTTTTTTATTATAAAGTAAGGTCAGTGGCAATAATAGTAATATTCCCGGTAAAACAGGGGTAAATATTAGCAATGATTCTGTATTAATAATATTGATTTTAAGTACAGATATTCATCCCACCTAAAAGGCTAAAAATCCTAGAAAACTCAGATCAGAATGAATATTCACAAACCCGAACTCTCAAAATCTTAAGTTAATGTATGCTTTTATGAAACGATACCTTATTGTTTTACTCTGTGTCTCTTTTTTTGAGCATTCACATCTTCACTTCTTTTGCAAGGTAAACCAAACACCAAGCGGTAGTTCCAAAAAAAAAACAAACGCCAAGCCAATTTTCGTTCGACGACATAAGATGCACAAAATACATAACCACAAGCAAATCCAGTGTAGATGGTAAAGGGCAAGCAGTTTGTTTCACCCATCACACAGAGAGTTTTCATAAGAACACAAAAGCACATCCAAACTAGCTATATAATACCAATCAACATTGAAGTGTATCTGTGAATCTCCACAGATACATGGCAGAGTGGCCTTACGGCTCCTAACGTAACTTTTTAGAGACGTTGAGACAGAAACTTAGCCAAAGCATCAACAGGTTTGGCCGAGTCCATATTCTTTCCCATTTCCCCTGACCTGACTTTAATTCTCGCAAGATAATCAGCTGCAATCCAAGCAAAGCTCAGCATCACTCCATGACCAGACGAGTCATCAGGTTCTTGCAGCTCTGTAGACTTCTTCACCCACTCGGGATGGTAAGTGACATGGTACCAAGCTGAAGCCTTTTTCTCATACATCACGTTCTTATCCTCCTCGCTGAGATTCTCATCCTCCGGTTTTGTCTCCTCGAATACTTTTCTCAGCTCTTTCTTCAGGGAGTTATAAGAATGCTTCAGTCTTTCTTTCAGTTCTCCTTGTTTCTTGCTTGTGTACTTAGGCATGGACCAGATGTGACCCGTCACAATCTCTTCCTCTTTCTGCACCTTGTATTGCCCGAGAAGACCAATGAGCTGCCCGTCGTAACAACATTTGTGACCCCATGCCTCAGGGATGAAATCTTCAAATCCTGGTATTTCAAGATCAGTGTCATAAGGGATGTCACTTGGGTTAGAGTTTTCTTCTGAGGAAGCTTCTGCGTCTTCGTCATAAACTTCTTTGACCCGTCTGTAAAGCCGTCCCAGGATCTTCTTCGACCTGTAAGTTTGGTATTCTTCTTTTCCCATGAAATCAGGGTAGAGTTTTGGTTTCAGGTGGAAGGGCATTGTCACCAGCTTCCCTGTCTTTGGGAAATCGACTGCTGTGGCAGCTAGCTCTGCAAGTAGCATACATTCTTCGTCCATGGCTCCATACTCACTTCTATCAGCATGAACGACGTGTGCATTGCAGATTGTACCCAAATGCTCATTCGCCATGTTTTTTACAAAGAATTCTATTATATCCTGTAACAAAAGCGACCAAAATTACCCAAGACTTGTTTTGCAAGCGCTTAGAAAAGAAAGTCTCATCATGATATTATTGCACTTGATAATAACTAAAAATCAGAATCAACGATACAAAATATTCTAATCTCATCATCTAAGCTCCTGCAGGATGATCTCACTATACTGTTGATAACATATACCATGCAATGTATGAACTCAGAAGCAAGCATCAATAATCACAACAAGTATCCAGCATTTCATAAATATCAGAGAGTTGTACTGGAATCACCTATCCATTTTAAGCTAACCGGGAAAAAGTAGAGGGAAAGTAGATATTGACCTGGTGGTTGACAGGGCGGCCCTTACTCGACTCTTCAGCTGCAGTATATTCCATGGCGGGAAAGCTTCTTTTGCTGGGAGGGATGAGTTTCTGATCCCAAGCCACAAAGTACAAGTCGCCATCAAGGTCACTGCCAGAAGCTTCGTTTGTATGGGGCCTATCTCCTTTCTGAGGAAAAAGTAGGCAGTCATACATGTGATGCAGCTCAGGTCTATCAACGGCTTCTAGAATCCTCACATCCCCAGGGTGAAGACAAGGATTCTTAGCAATGGCTACATAACCTTTCACTACTTGCATATCTGTCTTCGTCTCCTTAAAACGAGACCCATGTTTGGAGAAACAATTTTCTATAGACGGCTTTGACACTTGGATAAAGCATTGGCCTTGTTCAAGTACCCCTGCTTCATCTAGGCAACCCATTAGCCACCTTCCTGAAGTAACAAAGATACGAGATTTTTCCCTGAGACCCCAGAGTTGTGCAATCCTGACTGAAGACAACATTCCGCGTAGATGTGGCTCGGTTTTTGGTTTGAAACCAGCACTTAGCATGATAGCTGCAGTGTTTCCCTGTTCAGCACATGATGCTGTAAGAACTTCAAATGCCACATCGGTATCATCAAGAATGCGGTTCAGTTTATAGAGCATAGTTTCCTGCATGTCCCAGAATATTTCATCCGGAACGCCTAGTACAGAAAGGAGGGTAATTATCTGTCGGTTTAAGAAACCAGGTTGAAACCTGGTCCAGGAACAGATCTCCAAAACTGTATGCTTAGAATGGAACTTGTCCATACTGTGTCTAAGGGCTAACCGGATTCCATCATCTTTTGATGGCCAACGAGCAACAACTCCTTTGAAACCAGCGTAACGTATTTGATAAGCACAAGGGCTGCAGTGCGAATCCAACTTAAGTTTCTCCATTATTTCGGAAGCGAGGTCAGGTGTGATTGTTCCAATCCCATCAGAGAAAGTATACCCGTTTCTCTCAATTTCTGGAAGCTCGGTGTCAACCTCGTCAGGCATGACATCTACAGTGGCGTATGTGGAGGAGAAGCACAAGCCCATTCTAGCAGCACATTTTGCCACATTTTTGTCTTTGAACTTCCCCATCCATGTCTTTATATCTGACACTCTTATTTTCCCGTCTTCAGCGAAAAACCATGCAGAGCGGTCTCTGAGTTGATTGGCCGAGAATGCTAGAAAACTGTATTTTCTACCACATAGTTTAAACCCATCGGTTAGGATTGTCTTTACTCTTTTAAAGACGTGGGTCTTCTGAGAGAAAGAGCTTGATGTAAGATCCTTCACAATAGGAGCAACAAAGTAAGAAAGAACATTTGAATTCATGGTCTGCATGCCTTCGTCCATGAAAGTAACACGCAAGAATCTATCAGACACAGCTTTGTATTTCCTGAGTACCCTGTTGGAGAGCTCAACTTCTGGGGGTAAGCAATAAGCTCTGGTTGGAGTAATCGCTAGCCTTCTGATCTCAGAGATATCGTCTGACTGTACATGACTCCCTAACAGCTTTGGATTTTTCTGAATCCATTCTTGAACAAGCTTCAGCCTCTTGTACGCATCGAAAACAGGTCGTTTATAGGTACAAAGATGCTTGAGAGAAGCTATATTGACATCCTTGGGTTGGTCTCTGAGAAGATCAAAGAAGCGCTCAGTCAACTGAAACTGGTTAAAAACCCCTCTGTGCAGCACCGCATTTACTAAGAACATGATCTCAAAGGAGACTCCTTCCTTGTGGTGAATGCAGAAGAAATGATCTGAAACAGGGTCACCAAAACAAGGCTCATCACGAATCCTCGGAGGAAACCTCACACGTTCCTCGTGCACTCTCCTTGCCCTTAGATACTCCAATGCTGTTGTCATTTTCTTCTCATGACGAGGAGATATGAGCACTCGATACGTAAGGCACCGCCCAATTGCCCCAGCTTGAGTAAAATCAGTGGTACGGATCCAAGGGTCATCATCATCCAAGAGATCAACAGGGACAGTTTCATATATATCATCATCAGCTGTTCTGTACCAGACACGAGGTGAAGAAGCCAGCTGCAAGAGCATCACATAGCCATCCAAAGTTCTATACTGCTTAACCGTTCTTATATCTCTCACCAACAACTCCAACTTATAATCACAGTTCATCACAGCATACATCATCGTATCCTTCAAAGAGAACGCAGTGCTCTTCGTGAAGCAAAACCTGCAAGTATTATCAAAAGGGTCCACAAGGAAATCAACACCTTCAGCTCTCCAAGAAACAAAAAACTCATCACGCGAAACCAACGTCCCAATCTCAAGCGAAACACCAGTCAACTTATACGGCGTCGTCGTTCTCCTTCTCTGGTTAAGCGTGTACGGATTCTCAGGCCCCAAGCTGACTTTCAACGGCTGGCCATTCAAAATCAGCTTGGACTGCCCCGCGGCGTCCATCGCGCGGCCTGCTGACTCAGAGACCGCGAAATGGACAAAAGCATGAGGCTCAACTCTCTTGTAGCCATCGAAAGTGGGGATTTTGGAAGTGTCAGTGATCTCGAAATCAGGGTAAGAGCCAGGAGGAGTCCAGGAAGTTTTTAATCTGCATCGCCAAACGAGTCCTATTTCTTCTTCAAGGTAATCTGTAAGCTCTTTTGCAGTTGTTAAATCACCAAATCCACCAACGCTTACTTGTGTCACAACTGAGTTCTTCTTCATGTTTCCCTCTGATCCCATTCTCCTGAAAAAGAATATTCTTTCTAAGTCTCAAAACAAGAAAGGAATCAACACGCAAAAACTCTCAGATTCTTAATTAAGTATAGTCAAGTTCACATAATCAACCAATGATCAGACGAAGAATATATTAATTACGGCGTTCTTAACCCTAATTAAGCTACTCAAAAAGGATATAAACATTGAATTAAGAGACGATAGTGATGATTTTAAAACCCTAACGACCGTACAAAATTGAACAAAGGAGACCCCTGGAGACTTACAAAGAGCGATCGGAAGAGACGGAGACATGAAAGCAAGGCGGAGAAGAAAAGGAGAAGAGGGGAGTGAGCGATTTAGTAGACTAGTACACTTGGAACCGCCATAGCTTAAAAAAACGATCAACCATCGTCTTCTACCAGTCAACGGAATAGAGTGTTGTGTTAATTGTGTGTGATTAGACGTTTCTTTATGGGCTTTTTTAATGGGCCTTTGTATTCTCTTCAGATGACGAAAAGGATATATAGAAATTTTGTTTTTCTACAACCGTATATAACTGTATTATACATTTATACTATTTTTTTCTTTTAACAACATAAATTTATAATTATACTAGGGTTGGCCCGCCCTACGGGCGGGATATACTTTAAGTGTGATCTAAGTTATTATTTTTATATGATTTTGTAGTTTGTATTTTATTTGCATTTGTAAGAAATGTATATGAGAATGATTTTTTATCTTCTAGAAAATTGTAGCTAAAGAGAGATTATATGTGATGAGATATATTTTACTTTTTTATAATAGTTATTTCCACATTAAAAGTTTATGGTATTGATATATTGTCAGGATTTCAAATGGTTTTTATGTTGTTTATTTTTTTAAAAAGAATTGATCATATATTCAAGGTTAAAATGATTTATTTTTCTCTAATAATAATTCTTATATTGATTAAGTAAATATTTTTAATTTAATTTTCTACATTGACTTTTCTAATCGATCTGAACCGAACAGTTTTGAGATCCTAATTGTGGCTTTAAGACTATAGACGCTCTGAGTTAAACGAAACACAGAGTATTATGGTCCAGGGATCTCGAATTAATGACATGACAATATGTAGAGGGAGATAACTATGCATATGAACACATTGTAAAATCATTGTTTGGCAGAATATTGTTTTGTTTTCTATTGATTATGTTGTTTACAAATAAAGGGTGAAGTTCTCATTGTTAAATATTTTAGTTTGAATGTATTTTGAGGGTGTATTCAGTAATAAAATGAAGGTCAGCATTATTGCACACTAATAAGTTTGAAGGAAAATTCTATAATTTTGAGTATGTAACATTTTTTGGTTGCCTTGTTGTTGAATGGCTATATAGGATTTGTTTGGTCAGGTTTTGAATAGTATGATACCATGGACAATAACCAATTAAGCAAACGACACTAAACATGGCCGGCTCAAGGTTCCGCTGGGTCCTAGTGCAAAAAAAAAAGAAAAGTTTAGATCTTATATATTAAATTTTTAGAGCAAATTTTATTTGGACCCTATAGCTATTAATATATTTTTAAAAGAAAATTAAAAAAAAAAAAAAAATTGTTTGAACTTTGTAAAGAGTTAAATTATTTTGCATAATTAGATTTTTTTAATGTAATGTTATATGTGTAATTTAAACATAAATATTCGTTAAAAAATATTGGTATGAGCTCCGGGGCGATCACACCCTATGTACTCAGACCCTGACACCAAAACAGGATGTAATGACCGGTTAAATTGGGTTGTGTTTATATTATATAATGCAATGGCCGGATTGTTTACTCCGAAGCATTGGTTTACAATTTTGAGTAACAAATTATATCCACCAGTCGGTTTGTGTGTGATGATTTGACGAAAGGCTATAATGATTGTTTAATTAATAGTCAAAATTGTATAGTCTTCTGTTTGATCGTGGTATCAGAATTGAGGAACATTAATAAACAAACTCAATTTCTATTGGTGGTAAAAGCTTTATTGATTTCATTGACATGTGGAGCACCAATACCATAAGACATAAATACCTTTAAATCCAAAGGTATTATTTGTAAATGTATGGACGGAGTAAAAATTTATTCCAATAATGTTACTCTTTAAAACAACAAAACCACGGTCCTCAACCACAAACCGAAAAAAAAACAAAGCAGAAATATGTTTTAAACCTTTAATTTGGTGTAAACGTTTTTGCTTTTAGTTTTCTATTATACTTATCAAAATACTGGTTCTTGGAGTCCAACTTTTACTTGAACAAAAATAAAGAGTTAAAATAGATTCTCAAATCCTAATGAAAAAGTTAAAATTATCTGTTGAAATTTGGTCGCATAATATTTTAAAATATTTTTACAAATAAATACATTAATAAATTAATAAAATTAGATATCTAACAGAACTTTTATTTTAGTTCTACATCACTATCAAATAATCTAGTCGAGAAGACTAATAGTGAATGACGACGCAGTTAGAACAAAAAAGTAACTTATAAGTAAATGTAACCAAACTACTAATAATCAGTCCATTGTAGCTTGGCAAATATCAAAAAATGCACAGGCAAAAACCTATCTTGAAACTATCTTCTTCCTTCTCTTCTTTACCTCTGTTTCCTTCCCTTCTCTCCTCTACTCTGATCTGTGTTATTTTAAGTCATATAACCATCAACTCCAAGCCATGACCACACCACCTCCAAGCAACTCGACTCCGCCGTCACCATGACCCTACAACCACTTCTCCACCGTGTTATAATAACTTTCATTAGACTCACCATGAAAACGTTACGGCACTGATTCAGTTTTCTTGTTTTCTATAACTTCTAAAGTACCATTTGATGTGGACTTGTCATCTCCTGCATTATTCTCACAGAACCTTTTTTAAACATATTAGTTCCCACATTTTCTTCTTACTTGGGATAGCTGAGCAGCATCATTAGGCTGAGGATGGAGAAGTAGCTGCAACAACAAAGAAGAGCATCATTTAAGCATCCATATTTTTTGCTTAGGTGTAAAACAAAGAGAAGTCTAATGTTGAAAAATTTGAACCTGTTTCTTGATGAATGGAGGAAGATATATAAATATCCTACAACATATGACCAAGGTAAGAGCTGAGCAGAAAGCTTAGCAGCAACTACACCCTGCAGAAGGAGCCCTAGAACTTCTTGCATCACAAAAAGTCAGATTATATACATGACTCATGAGATATAATAGTAAAAGGAACATATGTATACGACATCAACTCATCACAGTTAATAGAACGTAGACTTCAGGAATAATATACATGTCTCCAACTTCACCACCCAGTATCACCAGAGAACACATCACTTACAAATCAAGCAAGTTCATTTCTGCTTCAGTCACACGGTTCTCCTCCAGAACTCTGAAGAAAATATTGAACGTGTTACCTTCTTCTTCAGTTGACGAAAGAACCATCATCATCACCACCTCCAACCTTCTTTGTAAGCCAGGAAAATTCATTGCACAGCTCCGACTCCCCAAGCCAGGAGTGAGGTTGCCGGAAGATTTCAGAGATTTGGAAGCCAATCTCCGCTGCGTTTATTTGTGAATAGTGAATAATGTGAAGAGAAGAATTTGAGATGAAGCTTTAGATATAAGGTGAAATGATGAGAAGATACAAACATGATCACATTGAGAATGAAGCATAATCAACAAACAATTTATAAATTAATATGAACATGAGTTAAGATACTGATATTAGTAAAATTACTTACTCCTGGCTTAGGACAGAACACGGCTGGCATTGATGGTAGCGTGCATCATGGTGGCCTGGAAAAGAATTAATAAACATCATCAGAGATAAAAACAGATGATGTCGGAATGATGTTCGAATGTATTTAGGACAGAACACTAACATTAATATCCACCATCAACAAATCTAACCACATCAATTCTCCTCCACGGCGTGGATTCCGGGCCTCCCAGAACCGGAGGAGGCGGACCTCGACGGCGGAGGAGCAACGCCCAGATTTCAGGTCAGAGAAAAAAACCCTAGACATAGCCATGAGAACGAAAATCTATTTAGATATGTGAGAAAAGAACTGGAATGATGAGGAGAATGAGAAGGAAGTACCTCTATATATATACAGATCTCCACCGACTACGAACAGATCAGAGAGAATTGATTAGGGATCGTAGGGGTGTGTTTAATTATCGAAGAAATCTGTAACATCTGATAAGGAAAAGGAAGCGACGATGGAGCGAGGAGATGAGTGGTGTGTATCCATGGCGGCTCATATGCGATGAAGGGAGATAACCCTATTTGGGAGAGAAGATAAGGGAAAAAGGCCGTCCCGTTTAATCTCAGGCCCAAGTAAAATCAAAGGCGAGGCCCAGTACACCAAAACACGTGTCATCTCGATGGGAAGGTATTTAGTGACGTGGACTGGCTTGAGTGAGGCAAACATTTTTTTATATATATAGATTGTCACGAGTAACAAATACATACATAATACATAGATTAATATAAAAATAACTAATAACATAACGAAGAAGACAAAAAAACAACACATAACAAAATAAAGGAAGTTGTAAAGATGTTATTTTCTCTGAAATCTTCGTTATTTTCTCTGAAATCTTCGTTATCAATAGAATATCAACTCTATTAATTTTCTTGCAAACTTTAAATCTTTGTCGTATTATACACACTAATTTTCTTTGTTGTATTACAATGATCTCATCCCAGTTTAAAACTATACGGTTTGGAATCTTTTTTTTTGTTTTTTTTTTTTTTATCACGTGGGGAAATCTCACCCCGGATACGGTTTGGAATCTAATATATTGATTCAGCCCTAAAAGTTAAAAATTGGGATAACCAATTTTCAGCAATTGTAAGAATATCACCATACAAAAATAAACTTCATTTACTAATCTTTATTGTCGTGATTTTCAGGGTTTCAAAAATAGTTCAGACTTATCAATATTTTGATATCAAATATATTGTATCAAAATTGATCTTCTCCTCTCGATCAAAGCATCATCTATAACGATGTATAAACCAAGTTGCAATCGAAAATTGATAATACCTTATCAAACCGACATCGCAGTAGGTCTTGACCACCACGGAGATGTAGGATGTTGGAATTAGACTATCGTAAAACTGTCCCACACCAACATAAATGTCGGGTTCCAATAGATTGCGTACCGAATGATGATGGTGACTTGTTGTTGATGTATAAACTGATTGAGAATTATAAAATCTCAAATTTTGTTTGATAAACATCACCATCCAAAGCGACCCAGTCAATACTTCGGTCGCAAGAAAGAGTAATGAAAAAATAATATGTATATGGCGTTGGAAGGAAACCGTAAAAATGGTTAATTTCATCACTGAAATCATAATGTAGATATC